ATTGCTACAAATATACCCCAGCGACTTAAGACTGGTTTTGTGCTCCAGGGTCACATTTGTGGTGTTGTGTTTATCGACTTATTAAACAAGGCAAATTAGCGTGAGAGCACAATCCCATAAAAGCACAGATGGAAGTGGAAGGTTCTGCAGATGATTTCCTGACAATGCAGTCTTCATAATGACCACTGCAATCTACCAAGAGCAGCGCAAATAAGCGTAGTGTTGCAAACATGTGTAGCCGATGATAATCATGTGCAGCTAATCTACTAACAACACAGGTGTAAAATGGGTTAAGACATGCTTTTTTTCTGGGTGTTAAATAATGGTGCAAATACTAGTAAACGGACTACCGCAGACCTTAGTAAATCACATAGCACGATTCATTTAAATACTCTCCTATACATTTTAAAAAGAAAACTCTTTACAGTAAGGTTAGCAAAAAATAACGTGTCCTTTTCATCGCTAATGTTTCACTTCGTCTCTTTAGTAAATCCTGACAGTAGTGTTTTTTTAACAGCAAAAGAGGGTTAGTGTTGGCTCGAGCCGTTGTCCCTTAAGTCCCTTAATATTTAAAATGCTTTAAATGTATAAGAAAGGATCTGTGAGAGCGGTGAATCTCTTTCAGGACTTTCAGGAATACCTGCACTCTTTGGGAAAGGCCCGTACGGCACAAGTGCAGAAGGATGCGCGGATTGGAGAAGCCAAGAACAAAAGAGATGCAGTGATCAGGGTGAGCCTTTCCTGAACTCTGTTCCATATACAGCCTATTTTCTAAATATCACAGAGCATTTTTGTTAACATCCATCTCATTTCTCTCTTTCTTCTCTGTTAGGAGGCCAATGCTATACAGGAGAAGGTATCTGCTCAGTACATGAATGAGATCGAGATGGCTAAGGCTCAGAGAGACTACGAGCTGAAGAAGGCTGTCTACGACATTGAGGTCTTCACCAAAAAAGCGGAGTCTGAAATGGCCTATCAGCTCCAGGTAGAACTACAACCAAACCTTTTTGTCACCTTCAATATTGTGAAAGACTTTATTTAATTTTTCCTTGGGGTTCTTGATAAAGCAAAAATCCACTCAAATTTAAATTCCGTCATCATTTACTCCCCTGCTATGTCGTTCCAAACTTGTTTGACTTTCTTTATTCTGTGGAACAGTTTTGGTTCCCACTGATTACCACTGTATGGACAAAAAGTACCATGGAATCACCATGGTTATCAACAATCTAAAATATCTTCTATTGTGTTCAGCAGAAGAAAAAAAATACATACCTGGATGAACTGTCCCTTTACTTATGGAAGCCCGTTTCCGCCACTGAATAAAAAATAAAAGAAGGTAATTGCGAGTGATAAAGTCAGAATTGTGAGATATGAACTCGCAATTGTGAGAAAAAAAAAGTCAGAATTGCGAGTTTATATCTTTATTTTTTTATTTTTTATATTTTAATTCAATTATTAATTGATTTACTTATTTTATTTTTATTCTGTGGCAGAAACAGGCTTCCGTGCTTCTACCTTAAGGTTTGTTAATATTTAATATGTATGCATGATTTCTGAAGGCATGCTGGGATTTAATTTGAAATAATAATTTCAATAATTATTCTAATAATCTAATAATAATCTAATAATTTGAAGATTTGATTTATGTCTATAAATTGCAAATGCCACCGTGTTTAGATGCAAGACATACAGACAGTATTTTTAAAGCAATATCAGCAACTCTTGTGAAGTGGAGAAGTCAAAATAATCAGAAAGTAGAACTGAAAAGAATAATTTTTCTTTCAGGAATACCTGCACTCTTTGGGAAAGGCCCGTACGGCACAAGTGCAGAAGGATGCGCGGATTGGAGAAGCCAAGAACAAAAGAGATGCAGTGATCAGGGTGAGCCTTTCCTGAACTCTGTTCCATATACAGCCTATTTTCTAAATATCACAGAGCATTTTTGTTAACATCCATCTCATTTCTCTCTTTCTTCTCTGTTAGGAGGCCAATGCTGTACAGGAGAAGGTATCTGCGCAGTACATGAATGAGATCGAGATGGCTAAGGCTCAGAGAGACTACGAGCTGAAGAAGGCTGTCTACGACATTGAGGTCTTCACCAAAAAAGCGGAGTCTGAAATGGCCTATCAGCTCCAGGTAGAACTACAACCAAACCTTTTTGTCACCTTCAACATTGTGAAAGACTTTATTTAATTTATCCTTGGGGTTCTTGATAAAGCAAAAGTCCACTCCACATCATTTACTCTCCTGCTATGTCGTTCCAATCCTGTATGACTTTCTTTATTCTGTGGAACAGTTTTGGTTCCCACTGATTACCACTGTATGGACAAAAAGTACCATGGAATCACCATGGTTATCAACAATCTAAAATATCTTCTATTGTGTTCAGCAGAAGAAAAAAAATACATACCTGGATGAACTGTCCCTTTACTTATGGAAGCCCGTTTCCGCCACTGAATAAAAAATAAAAGAAGGTAATTGCGAGTGATAAAGTCAGAATTGTGAGATATGAACTCGCAATTGTGAGAAAAAAAAAGTCAGAATTGCGAGTTTATATCTCGCAATTCTGACTTTATAACTCGCAATTTTTACTTTATAACTCGCAATTGCGAGTTTATATCACGCAATTCTATATCACGCAATTGCGAGTTATAAAGTCAGAATTGCGAGATAAAAAGTCACAATTACCTGGTTTTATTTTTTATTTAGTGGCGGAAACGGGCTTCCATATAGTTATACCTATTTTAGAAACATAACTGTTTGACATGGTTTTGTGGGTAAAAAAAGAATTTAAATGTACTTACATTTATTCAATAAATCTTCATCCTCCTGTGTAACTGTTGCATTAGGTGGCGAAGACAAAGCAGCAGATCGAGGAGGAGAAGATGCAGGTGATGGTGGTGGAGCGCTCGCAGCAAATCATGCTGCAAGAACAGGAGATCACACGCAAGGAGAAAGAGCTGGAGGCCAAAGTCAAGAAACCAGCCGAGGCCGAACGATACCGGCTGGAGAAACTGGCGGAAGCCGAACGGTGAGATTCCTGTTGGTTTTAAAATCCCATATAACGTGAAGGTTATGTTCCACAAATATTCACCAATTGCTTTTGTCTTAAAAAGTGAAGTGTGTCATTTCCGCACTAATGTCACCATACGGAATTGCAAAAATGGCTCGGCTTTGATTAAGATTTTTAAATCAATAGTTGTTCATGTAAACATATAAGGTTTGACTGTAAAGAATTAGATCTCTGACACCTCAGGTGTGTTTGATTAGGGTTAGAGCTAAACTCTGCAGGAAAGTGGATCTCATGGGCCAGATTTGAGGATCCCTGGTGTAGGCAATATAGAAAAATATTGCATTGTACTGCAAAAATAGTAATCATCTTGCAAGAGATGATCCTGCGTAGAGAAAAAAGCAGTTTGAGTTGACGTCCTATATTGATGGTAAATTGAGTTCTTTCTATCCATTAGATGGCAGAGGAGATCAGTAAGCCCCTGTCAGCTACCAATAAGGTCACCATGGTTTCCAGTGGAGGTTCAGAGATCGGTGCAGCCAAGCTGACAGGTGAAGTGCTTGACATCATGACCAAACTGCCCGAAGCCATTGAGAAACTAACTGGGGTCAGCATTTCCCAGGTAAAAACAGTATTTCAAACGGTATTATTTTTGTATTTCAAGTGAATACAGAAAATGTTGTCTTCACATGATCATGAATTTTTGTTCATCATGTAGTGTGTGCATATTCTCACATGCATAATTGCTATAACTGACAGAATGTCTCTTCCTCTTTAGGTGGCCCGAACCGGTTGAAGAAATTCTCCTACATTCTCTCTCCTCTATCTGTGACAATTCATTTCTTCTCCTTTTATCTTCCACACTGCATCTCTTTTGTTTTCCCTTCCCCATCTTTCTCTCTCGACGTACACTTCCTGTCTGTCTTGCCTTGCTGCCAAAACCCAAAGTGCATTTTAATCTAAAACTCCAGGGAAGAATGCTGTTCTTTATATTTTTAATGCAATCATAAGAAGACAGTGAAGTCCAAGGATCTGTCGAATGCCATTACACACCGACACTTTTGACATTTTGAAATGTTACACCTTTAGTTTTTCTTGTAGAGTACTTTTTAATGCTGGTAGTGCACTATGAGCATTTCGTTATATTTGCATTAGTTACTTTCCATTAGTAACCTTTTGGAAGCCAAAGTAACATGAAGGGAAACACATTTATAAGGACTGGTGCTTGTTGTGTCATTTGTTTCTGTGGGTTGAATAGGTTATACATTCACTTTACCTCAAAAGTGTATTTTCACTATATTATTTGGACATAATCGTGTTGGAATTATAGTAATTATCTGCTTCAAATGGTATGCTGTGCTCTGAAATCTGAAGATACTGCCAATAATGTCAGATCTTCATTATCTGTGTTTATAAGTGTTTACTCAAGTGAACAGTCTCAGATGTCTTTGTGTTATGCAGAATTATAGGTCAGTAATTATTCTATTAGTAACTTATTTATTTATCAAATATCATTTGAAGGTTTTTTTTTTGTATAGTTTGAAGTGTTTTCATGCATTACTGAAGGGTGCGATTATATTTATACATCTGTACTGTTTTGTCCTAAAGCAGATGTTGAAAATGATCATGACCATGTCTAGGACTTGACATTACAGGGAAACTTATTTGTTACATCTTTAGACAGTTCTGTTCATTAAATGAGACAGAAGCTGAATGCTTGTCAAAGTAATTTCAAAGTTGTGTCATAAAAATGGGGGATTTTAAAGGGGTCATCGGATGCCCATTTTCCACAAGTTGATATGATTCTTTAGGGTCTTAATGAAAAGTCTGTAACATAGTTTGGTTAAAATTTCTCAATGGTAGTGTAAAA